AACTGCTGGTCCTGAAAAAAACTTTTAAACAGAGATTATGTGCTAATATAAGGTAAAGCTTTTTTGCTTTATTGCATTTTTTATTTTGTTGTGGTGGTTATTGTTTTTAATTGCCAGAGGTTTCATCTGCTTGCGAGGAAGAAAAAGAAAGGAAACATCCTTCACTGGGGTGAGGTCACACTGCAGTCCTTTTTCTCCATTCCTATGTATACCCAGCATATTTTCCAAGCCATGGGGGCCAAGGTTCTACCTGTGCAGTTGGCCATGTGGGATCTAGCTCCTTTAACTGTTAAGCTAGAAACCAGCTCCCATTTCAACCCCATTTTTATTTAACATGAAGAAAATTGTGTTATCCATTCAACTTTTAGACCTATAGACTGAAGTTGGAAGATATTTGAAGTTGGTAAGTTAATGTAGTCTAGAACAAGTGTCACAGTCTTGAGAAAATTAGAAACTGGAAATGTGGAAGACTGAATAGTTCTAAAGACAGTTCATAATAGAATTTGTTGTCTTTTGTAACTGATTTGATGCGAGAGTAGAAAAGGGTTTTTTGAGGATTCTTTGGGGGTAAAGTACTTTAGTTATATACCATTTTTGAAGAAAATGGTAGTGCCCTTGGTTCTAATGAAGTAGTTACTATGTATTATTTTTGAGAATCAGTAAACTTTCTTTCATGAGAAATTAATGGGAAATGAGTAACTTTTCTTATTTAATTGTGGAACCACAGGGGTTACCAAAGGGGTCTTCAGAAAGTTCTCGAAGAACACATATGAAAAAACTACACATGGATTTCAAACATTTTTTGCACCAAATAAACTTGTACTAATTTATTTTAACATGACTGAACAGGGCCTAGTTTTGTGGCCTTAAGAACCCTAATCAGAGCAATGAGAATTCTGATAAAGTTGAAGCAAGAACAATGGTGACACGTGGGTAAAAGAATGATGAAGTCTATGATGGGGAAAAGTTTATGGGGACAGTGTTCCAGAGAAATCTGCAGTTTACTAATGGATAACTTGTTTTTAAGAAGGGGAAAAGTTATGTTATCCTGTGAAATGGCAGATTTTCCACGTAAGTTCGCAAGGAAAAATATCTTGTCCCCTGATTGAAGAGGACCAACAGTTAACAGTGGAAACAGTAGCCACCACCATAGATTTCTCAGTTAGTTCAGTTTGAACAATTCTGGCTTAAAAGTTAAAGTTGCGCCAATTTGGTACCAGCAGATGGCATAATGGTTACGTCTCTGGACTCCCATATACTTGACTGTGGTTCGAGTCCTAGACCTGGCGGCTTTAATCTCACGCCAGGAACGTGTGTGTGCCCAAAATCCCAAAAGAACAGTGGAGGAAAAAGGATTGCAGCATCGGCATAGCCTGGGGGGTGATTTCTTGCTTTCTATCTCTCTGCCTCTCTGACAAGCACATGTGCCAAATAGAAAAATCTCACTTTCAAAAATCTAAAAAAAAAAAAAAAAAAAAAAAAATTGAGCCAACTTTCTACTCTATGCATGCCAAAACTGTTGCGCCCAGATCAGTTGCAGATAAGATACAGAAGAGAACAGAGCTTTCAGTGGAAATTTTAAGCAAGTGAGATCAAGATCCTGAAGCATTTTTTTAAAAGAATTGTGACAAGCTTTAAACGTGGCCTTACCAGTACAAGCCTGAAGACAAAGCACAGTCAAGCAATGGCTACCAAGAGGTGAAGTGGGCCAGTCACGAGCAGAGGTCAGGGCAGCAGTATTGTGCGATGCTTAAGGCATTTTGCTTCATGATTTTCTGATGAGCCAGAGAACAATAACATCTGTTCATTATGAGGGTGTTTTGAGAATTTTAGCCAAAGCTTTAAGGAAAATGTCCGGAAAAGCTTCCTCTGAGAGTCCTTCTCCACCATGACAGTGTTCTGTTATTTTCTCTCATCAGACACAGGGAGCAATTTTGTAGAATAGTTCAATGGGACATCATTTTGCTTCCACCGTATAGTTTTGATTTGTGTCCTTCTGACTTCTTTTGGTTTTCTAACTTTTAAAAAACTCTAAGGGGCACCCATCGTTTTTGTTGTTGTTACTATCATAAGGCCAGTTCCGTGGCACAAAGCAGTAATGAGCTGCTCAAGAAACTGGATCACCCATGGCAACCAGCATTTGAATTTCAGGCCTTGTCAGCCAGAAACATACTGGGCACATTCATGAATGCCCAGGATCCAGTGGGGTGTAGGACTGGAGGAAGGGGATCACAGCATGACTAGACCCCATAGAGGGTGCACTTGTCTCTCCCTCTGTCTCACTCACTCACTGTTATGTGTATGTGCATGCTTTCTATCATGACAAAGCAAAGGATACTGATTTATAAAAGACTCAGGGCTGGTTCTGTAGCACAGTGGTGAAGCACTGAGCATGGAGAACCGAATCCCACGTGGCCGAGCGCAGTTCCAGTTGTAAACCCAGCAGCTTGAAAATGTACCAACCCCATATGTGCCAAAAATCCTGCTGGAAAAAAGAAATGGAGGCAAAAGAGATTGTGATGTGACCTTGCCCTTTTGGGAAGTGCACTAGTTCTTTCGTTCTTTCTCTGGCAAGCACATGCGCCCTCTGGCAATTAAAACAAGTTGACATTAGGACCAGCAGGTGGTGTAGTGGTTGGGGTGTTGGATCCCACATGGCCAACTCAGTGGTTTTTGTCCTGGACCTGGCAGCTTGAAAGACACGGGCACATTTGCATGCATGTCCAAAATCCCAAGAAGAGAATAGGAAAGGGATTGCAGCATGTCCATCCCCACTAGGGGATGATTTATCACTTTTCCTCTCTCTCTCTCTGTCTCTCTGTGAGTTCACATGTCCTATGGCAAAAATCTTTTAAAAACGCGCAAAAAAAAAAGAAAGGCTTGGCATTGACATGGTTAAACTCCTAGCACCCTCAGTTCCTTGTTCGTGAACTAAGTGACTGGTATTGCTTATGTAAGCAAGGGCCATCTCTTGACTTGGTGATTGAGGTAGCTGGATCCTACGTGGCCCATTGTACAGTTTGAGGCCCAGACCCGGTGGCTTGAAAAAACCTCTGGGCATGCATGCATGTTCTTACCCAAAATCCCAGAAGAAATAAAGGAAAAAGGAATGCAATGTGACCACACCCTATGGAGGTACTTTATCTTCAGGAAGTACACAATACCTCTGGTAAAATGCTTAGAACTTAGTAAAGCCTATGTTGAGAAATAAAGTTTATATGTTTAATTTTAATCATTTAATTCCATCTTTTTCCCATGAACTTTTGGAAGTCCTCATGTATTTCAGTAGGTTTGTATATCGTGCTCGTGAGCCTGTGCCAGTATATTGGGATACAAATGTGTCCATGAGGATATTTTAAAAATTTAAACGTTTAGGTGTTTTACTTTAAATAGCAGTAGCATTTACTCTTTCACTCCAGCTCTCTTATTTTTGTCAATGAAGGGATCGACCTGAAATACAGTAGTTACTCTCAGTAGTTACAGAGCAGTACTCCAGTACCCCTCTGCAGACCCTGGGGCAGGGGAATGTGGCTTTGGGGGGTAGGGGGGAGAGCTGAGCTGGTTTGGCTCCAGGAACTTTCATCCCACTTTAATCTTAGTAGCACTGCTTTCATCCATTTCACATAGTGAGATTTTTTTTTTTTTTTTTTGGTAAGACCTGTTTTCATAGGATTTTTTACTAGAAAAATAAAACGACTGACCTGTGTAATTAAACACTTTTAATCAGTTTTAAATAATGTCATGTAAACCAACCTATATAAATTGCAGTCAGCATAATGTAGTATTGATAGAAAGAGTACTATTGGGACTACCAGTTGGCATAATGGCTATGTCGCTGGACTCCCATGTAGTTGACCACGGTTCTAGTCCCATCCCCCCAGGCTTAAACTCACACCGGGTGCATGTGCATGCGTGCCCAAGATCCCGAGAGGAGAAAGGAGGAGAAGGGATTGCAGCCTGGCCATCCCCCTGGGGGGTGATTTCTCACTTTCTTTCTCTCTGTCTCTGTCTTTCTGGGGAGTGCACGCGCCCTGTAGCAAAAACCTCTCCAAAAAAAAAGCACTGTGGTATTTGAGTCCTTAGTCAACTGCCCATGACCCTCAAGTATCTACTTTAACCACCCCAGTTCTGTTTTTCATCTGTAAAGTAGGATGATGTACTTGTCTTGTGAAATATCCAATTGTTTTATAGTCAAATTTATGTCATATTTTGTTTGTGTATTTCAAATGTCAGATTAGATCAAGAGTCAAACTTTTGGCATAAGGCCAACTAGCAAATATTTTAAAGGCCTCTTTCACATAGTCATGTCTCACATAATGACAAGAACATGTTCTGAGAAGTGCGTCATAGGCAGTTTGGTTGAATGAATAGCATGTACTTAAACAAACCTAGATGGCATAGCCTACTGCACACCTAGACTATGTAGCGTGTCTTCTGGGAGCACTGTCGTGTATGCGGCCCATCTTTGACTGAAACATTTTTTAACAGCTCTTTAAAAATGTCAAAATCTGTTCTTGAGAGCTATATAAAAGTAAACCCCAGGTTTGGCCCACAGGCTACAGTTTGCTGATTCCTGGTTTCATTTTTAATACCTAGTTATCTGAAATTAGGTTGTAAAAAAGCCAATAAATATCATTTAAATTCATCCCATTAGTGAAGTTTATCCTGCTACTATCTGGTTTGATTTTTGGAATCGGTTTATCTTTACTACCTTATAACAGAGTGAAGTTTGTGGAAACCATCCAGGACTGGTTCTGTGGTCTTTTGTTTTGGGTCAGGGATAAAATACATTAACCATCTTGAAAAATAGGTTAATTTGACATATATTTTATGAAACGTAATTTAGGTACATTTGATAATGAACAAATTCATTATTTTATAAAAATGACTAGAGAAAGGAAATTGGTGTTGGTTACATATGTTCTTTATAATTTCCTTTAAATTTCAGTTTAAAATGATAATTCTCATTTTATGGAGAACTTATTGTTATCCTCTTGTAGCTTGCATGAGTTCCTCTGTGAATAATGAAGCGTCATTGGACAACACAGATGATGAACAACCAAAACAACCAATTAAAACTACAGTGATACTGAAAGTTCGGCAAAACATAGGTATTTTACTTCTTTTATTATATTGGAGATCATGTTTTGGATTTGGGTTTTGTTTAAAAATATTTTCATTTCATTTTTCTTTTCTTTAAGTGCTAGATTAAGCCAGAAAGTGCCAAGCCCTCAAGATTGATTTATGAATAATCACCACCAAAGTGTCCTCAAAGATGACATATCCTGTAGCAATTTTTTTTTTTATGTTTTTAGGAAAACCTTAAGAGTTTTAAGACTCTTAAGTTAGGACTGGTGTTTTACAAACCAATATTTCTAAAATTACTATCGTAGATTTTGGTATGTGTTCTATGAAAAAACTCCAAGTCTAGAAGTTTATTATATACTTTTGTACTTTAAAGTTTCCAAGAAGTATGGCAATTGCTTTAATGTTTCTCAGACTTTTGGAACAAAGAACATATAGATATTATTTATTGAAATAAAAATTTGGGGAATAATAAGCATTAAAAATGTGAGAATTAGTAGCCAGAAGATTTAGTTGTAGTTCTTGTCATTCATTACATAAACTTAATTATTTACATTTTTTGTGCCTGTATGCATTTGTGTTTGTCTGTCTGAGATGCTGTGGTCAGCACTTTTTGTTTTTTTGTGTGTTTTTTGGTAGTTTTATTGCCATGAGGGGCATATGCTCCCCAGAGAGAGAGGAAAGTAGGAAATCACCTGCCCCCTTAGGGGAGATAGCCATGCTGTGATCCCTTCTCCTCCAGGCTCCCTTTGGGATTTTGGGCACATATATACACATACCTAGCATGATTTTCAAGCTGCCAGGTCCAAGACTTGAACTGCTGTTGACCATATGGGAGTCCAGTACCTTAAAACCATGCCACTTGCTGGTCCCAGTTTTGTTTCTTTTTTCTTTCTTTCTTTTCTTTTTTTTTTTTTTAACTTACTATAATAAAAAAAAAAAAAAAAAAAGGCAAAATAAAAGTTGCCAACTCATGGTGCCAGCTAGTGGTGTGATGGTTAAAGCAACTGGATTTCACATGGCTGACTGTACAGTTTCAGTTCTGAACCTGGGAGTTTGAAAAGCCTATGGATGATGTGTGCAGGTATGTCCAAAATCCCGAAAGGAAGGAGAAATGATGAGGCGATGGCAGCATGACCATCTCCCATGGGAGAAGGGCTCTTTCTTACTTTCTTTTCTTCTCTCCCTCTCTCTCTCTCTCTCTTTCTCTAGCAAGAACATGTACCTTCTGGGAAAATTAAAAAAAAAAAAGTTGCCAATTTAGACTTATTGATTCTTTTATAATGGTGAAATCTTGTGCTTCTGCAATTTTTTGATAATTGCACAAATGACGCTAATAGTTGAGAAGCACTGTCCATTGAAGCTGTTTTTGGTGTCAGCTCAGTAGCATGAGACAACTGGAATAACAGTACAAATACTAATAAAAGCTTATTTGTTATTCTCTTAGATAGCCTTAGTACACATGTGTGTAAAAAAAAAACAACGTTTTCAATCTAGTTTTATAACTGAGTGATTTATTTTCCTTGAAGAATTTCCTGGTTTGTTATACATACATAACATACATCATACATACATGTATGTATGTATGTGTATATATATATATATATATATGTGTGTGTGTGTGTGTGTGTGTGTGTGTGTGTATATATATATGATAGAGCATATGTGTCTGGTGGTGATGGTGTTTAGACTCATCAGTAACCCGTATGTCAGAGCCTAGGATCAGTTAAGCCTTTTTTTTTTTTTTTTTTTTTAAATTTTTTTTGCTCATTCCATTTCCATTTGTTTTTGTGTCTGTTTTACTTTTAGGTGTGATTACAGCATTTGCGGTTGCAGT